ATATTATATATATATATTAAAAAAATCTATCCTGCTACGCAAATATATATCTGACTATTAATAATTTAATACTCTGCTACGCATAATTATATCTGACTATTTAAAAATTATGGTATCAAATAAGCAATAATAAATCTCACATAGGAAAAATTTTTATATGTTGGTTAAGCAAACTCAAAACCTACCTTTATATATATTGTTCGGGGTCCTGTTGAAGCTTCTTCAGGTATAAAAAGATTTTCTTAATGCTGTTGTATATTTAATTTAAGTCGTCCACATTTCTCTAACAAAAATTTACTAACCATTATCGAACGTCCATTTCCTTTTTTGTGTAATGGCAATTCTTCCGATTTCGCCCATACACCCCCGTTTTCCATCATTAGAGTAAAAAATATATTCATCAAGAATTATCTCTTTATTATCAGATTCAAGTATTGGTGGTATTCGTTCCATAGTTTACCTTCATATTTCACCATATACTTCTCATAACTATAGATTTCATCTAGAAAGGATTTTCGATATTCAACAACATCAGGGCGTTCATGACCATCATAATAAATACCACCTTAATATTTAAATAATAAGGTTATTTTTTTGTATAACAATATGTTAATTAATCTTCTTACCTTACTTTTATGATTAAAAAGTATAATTAAGAACATTTAACCATCGTGCCGCAGTTTTCATGCTGATGGTTTTTTTTTTGTTATTCCAGAATTTGCAAGCAATTTTTGTTCAACGAATTCCTTAAACTTCAATGGAGTGGTTGTTCTACCTTGAGATCAAATCCATATATGGCATTCTTCTGCTATATCTTTATCATCTATCAATCGTATTGTTTTTTGATGCTTTCCTTGATGGCTTACTGGAAGACGATTATACTGAAGCCAAAAATTTGCCCAGTATTAAATTAATCTTGCTCTATATGGTGCACAATCAATAAAAATCAACTGTGCAGCTTCTTTGCTGGCTTTCATCTCTTTTTAAGATCAGTCTTTAAATTTTCGATTCTTTCACCTACATCAAGTTGATTTCGTTCTTCCTCATCCATATCATCAAGAACGTCTTCAAAATCATCCGGTATTGGTTTATTATTCATGAAAGTTGATATTTTTATGGTTTCTTTTGCAGCTTTTGTAAAGGAGCCATTTAGTCCATATTTATCAAAATAGGACCCCAGACATCACATATATAACTCATAACTGATCTGCATGAATTTAAGTACTTTTTGCTCCTGCTAAAATAGACCTAATTTGCTAAAAATCAAATTAATGATCATCGTACTTTCTCCCCCGTTGGGCTCTGCCCATTTTTTCCTATGAAGTTATGAATAAAAAATATGAGGATTTTTTGCCTTGAGTGATAGTAAAAAGACTTTTTGACGTTATATGAAGTTATTACCGAGGTCTTTAGTTTCACCCGAACTCCTTACGGCTTATATTGAGTTAGAACCGTTATCATGAGTCTTGGAGTTACCAATAATACTGTAAGATGGCAGTTCTATACAAACGTTCCCCTGGGCTTTCTGAAAGGTTGAAAAGTAGTGCGTCTTGGTTCCTACGCCTTTAAAGTCTAACTGGCTAAGTGGTTCACAGGCCGGACCGGTATTTCTTGGAAGGAGCTCCTGACTAACGTATTTCTTGCTAGTTGATGTTGTTAACTGGGGAGTTAGTCTTCTAAAATAAGGAGACGGAGTTGAGGTGTATGTTTGGTGTTTTTTACTCAGGTTTTTCTCATTGCACTTCGAGTTTTCCTGAGGTTTATGTTTTTATTTTTTGCTTTTTGTTTTTCTTGGTCATTTTTTTGGTGTAACCTTATTTTCTTTGGGGGTGGAGGGATACTGGAAAATTTGATCGTCATGGTGGCTTGGTGTTACAATTTCAAAATCAATGATCATTCGGGTGATAAGGGGTGACAGGTTGGGTACCGCAGTTTTTGTAGTATGCCGATCATGGTGGTCACATGTTGGACTATCATTGGATTGACTTATCTAGGTAGATCTTAGGTCGAAGAATCATTTGC